TTTCTTCTCCATCACACTGACCTCTTTGTTCCCTCTACCTCCGTCTATCACTTTGCTGCTTGCTAACGAGCTCTCTCTCTCTCTCTCTCTCTCTCTCTCTCTCCCCCTCAGGTTCACGGCAAAGTGTGTGTGCAGACACAACACTGCAGGTGATCACTGCGAGCGCTGCACGCCGCTCTACAACGACCGGCCCTGGCAGCCCGCCGACGGACTGACGGGCGCGCCGCACGAATGTTCCAGTGAGTCAAAACAAACCTCTCTAACGGCCGCCGGGGTCGACACCTCTGCCTGTGAGAAGACGTGCGGTTGTGTGGGCAAGTCGTCTTCACCAAAATGACAGACAGACGACTTTCTACTCTTTTTTTTTTTTTTTTTTTCCGCCCCCTTCTCACGCCAGAGTGCGAGTGCAGCCAGCACGCCGAGAGCTGCCGCTTCGACTGGACGGCGTGGCGCGAGTCCGGCCAGCGCAGCGGAGGCGTCTGCGACTGCCTGCACAACACCGAGGGCCGGCGGTGTGACGCGTGCAAAGCCGGCTTCTACAGGGACCGCCGGAGGCCGCGCACGGCCGCCGACTCCTGCAGACGTGAGACGCGCACACACGCCAACAACACACACACACACACACTCGCTCGCTCACGTGTTGCCCCGCCCCTGCATTTCTTGGCAAACCGCAAACGCAGTAAATGTCACGCAACGTAATTAATCATTCCCGTGTTGATAAGAAACATGTTGCTGGTGGGAATCACAACAATCGGGCCTCGTGCACCCACCGCCGGCACGGCGACCACGCGCTCACGAGGAATGCGAGGGAACCGAGATCGCAAGCTGGGACGTGCCCGGATGGCGCCGGATAGACCCTTGATGCACACCTGCCCCGGGTTGTGTGTGTGTGTGTGTGCGTGTGTGAGTCAGCAGACGGCCCACGCTCCATCCAGCTCTTACACCCATGTGCCTCATCAGACGGCGGCATTCCTTCTCTTGACACACAGACCCCCCCCCGCGTGTCCATCTCTGGCTTGTTTCGCCATTATTCACGCGTGACTCGGGGGAAATCGTGGGTTTGGCGGGGTGCACGTGGGGGGGAGGGGGGGTCCTCGGTGTGTTTGCGTGTTTGAGCGGCGTGCTGCCCTGCGGCGACGAGTCGACTCTTAAGTAAACACGCGATAGTCATCCATAAACACGCGGTGGTGGCTGCATTCCCCGTCTGATCATGTGTCAGATTTGACCCAGTCAGCTCCGTCCTGCAGGTATGCTGGACGCACACCTCGTCTGTGTGTGCGTGTGTGTGTGTGTGCGCTTTAGCAGCTATCTTTGTGAGGACCAATTCACTCCTTCAGAGTGAGGACATTGGGGCTGAAAGGCTTGAGGGTTACGAATTCCTCCGGCGTGTAGACGGTTAGTGTAACTGAATGAATGGTCATTTCAAACCGTTCAAGCCCACCAACTTACACGGCGCTTTGAGTTTTCTCCCTTTGGAGCTGATGGATGCCAAGATGATACAGCCCCCGCTCCATTGTTCCATTTTATAAGCTTATAACCTCATCATTTTACATCTTTACCCTGTGCCAATTTAAGGCCGTGACGTTTAGGTGTGGTGACACCCTTGACAGTCAGAGAACGAGTGTGACAACTTTTTCCTGAAAGACAGACGTGTCACAGGGTCTAGATTTCCGGGATTGGGTGTCGGGAATACGGGGGTTTCTCTGCACCTGCAAACCGCCTGTGGTTGTAACCGGGGAGGGATAAGGACAGAAAAGGGGCGAGGGCCGGCTTTGGAGAACCGCCGAGACGGAGGTACGGGTTGTGAAATCCCGCTGACAGCGGAGGAATTTCCCTCCGTCGTGAGGAACATTTTTTTCATACCAGGTTTCGAGGGGCGCTGGAAAGAAAACACTACGCTTGTAGACACAAAAACTCTTTAGTGTGTGTGTGAGATTGTTGTCCACACCGGTTCGCTCGGGCAGGTGTCTTGTCATGTCTCATAAAGTTATCATAGTCATATTTACACAAAGCAGTCCTTGTGTAGTGACCCCCCCCCCATCCTCCCCTTTCAAGTGCTCATAAACTCTCAAGCAGATATGTAAACACGCGGCCTCATCAAACACATGGTCACACGTGTTCGTCGGCTCCACACGGAACTGAGGTGCCGCGCTGTTAATTATTAGCGTGTGGAGGCCGCTCACCAACCAACGTGTGGAAATGTGTCACTGCTGCTCCTTTTTAACAAGGAAACACGTGTACGAGAATAGAGCGAAATAATCATTTTAGTGAGTCACATCAACTGTTTGCATTATGAATTAATCTGTTTATTATTCGAAAATCAGAAATTGACGGATGGATAAATTAGTCGGCACAACATCTAGCTGCATATTTCATGACAACTGGACAACTTCGGTGATGCAATTAAAATCTCCAGAAAAGCCGCTAAATGGCGCTTGTTGTTGTCGTCTGCTCCGAGGTTCGAGGATGAACTTTCAATCGCAGCCTCTTGAGGTGTTTACGAAAAGCTCCCGATCTTAGGAACGTGTTACTTTGTTTACAGTCAACTGTGTGCGCGGTCACGTGAATTTCACAATAAGAGCTTCGGTTTGAGGAAAACATGATGCTTCTGGGGTGTACGGTAAGTAGTTGGAGTAATTTACCGCCAGTCCAGCTTCAAGCATCATTAAACAGCAGAGACACGGCTCCAGACCCCCCCCCCCCCCTTCCCGGGGAGAAAAGCTCCGGGTCCAAGTGCTGATAACAGTACCGTAGAAAACAGAAGAAAGCAGACCGTAGTTTTCTCAGCAGTGGAAACATGGGTGTGTATATTGTTTTTGGAGGTTGTTTAAAGAACATCAGCCCACAATTAGAGGGGGGGGGGGGGTCCTGCAACAACATCAGGCAGCCAAATAGAACAACTGATGAGTGATGAAATACTCGAGTCCTGGTAATAAATTTGTAATTTACAGGTCAGCAAAGTGTCGACTTAAAAGACCTTTAGACTCAATGCTGCCAGATAGGACTTCTTTTGTTTTCCTGGAATTTTGAATTATTTTATTATAAGATTATATATTATAAGAGAGCTCATCGGGCGATACAAGTGTCTTTGATAGTATACAATACACATTGCAATAAATCTATTGGAGTCGGCCGTGCAATTACGCCCATTTAAAAGACGAAAAAAATATGTAACTGTAACTTTACTTTGAAACGACCTTTCACTGAATTATTTTCATCCTTCTTTTAATTCCTTACTGACCAGCATGCAGCTGTCACCCCCTGGGCTCCACGCCCTTCCACCCGGCCGGCGGCTCACTCTGCGACCCCTCCAACGGAAACTGCATCTGCAAACCCGGAGTGGACGGCGTCCGCTGCGAGAGGTGCATGGTGGGATACTGGGGCTTCCACCAGTACGGCTGCCGTCCCTGCGACTGCGCCGGAGACTGCGACCCGTTCACCGGAGACTGCGTGTACGGGTGAGCGGAGGACACATAGATAGCCGTACTCATCTGCAAAAACATCTGCATACCCACTTGTGTGTGTGTGTGTGTGTGTGCGTGTTGACGTTGTGATGCGTTTGTGCAGCTCCGACCTGGACAACTTCGACAGGAACTCCAGCGATTCGGGGTGGATCTTCAGAGCGGACGAACTCTTCTCTGCCCGCCTCCCAGGTGAGCAACAGAGACAGTGTGTGTGTGTGTGTGTGTGTGTGTGTGTGTGTGGGGGGGGGGGGTAGTTCCCTCTTGGACCCCCCACCACCACCTGCCTGTAACCGCAGCTTTCATAAGCACATTCCTCACGGGACACGCACGCCGCGATCGCATTCTTAGGACGCCGTATCTTAGACCACACACACACACACACACGCCCAGTTATGTTATAGATATGAATCTGTAACTGTGTCTTTCTCCTGCAGAGAAGTGCGTGTGCAAAGAGCAAGCCCTGACCAACAGTAAACTCTTCTGCACCATGAGTTACGCGTACGGTGAGGATCCTCTCGGGCTGTTTGACCCTTTTAAGGATTTTATCGAGGCTTTAATGGATTCTCTTCTTCTCCGCTCGACTCTCAGTCCTGAAGGTGAAAGTGCTGTCGGCCCACGACAAGGGCTCCCACGCCGAGGTGGAGGCCGAGGTTCAGAAGGTGCTGAGTCAGAGCACCAAGTTGAAGATACGGCGAGGGCCGGTCACCCTTTACCCCGAGTCCTGGACCGCGCGGGGGTGCACCTGCCCGATCCTCAACCCAGGTGAGACCAACACTCGTTCGTTTCAACGATTTTCAACGTTTTTTGTTCGGACGCGTTGAAGTCGATGGAGGTGGGTTAAACGTCCATGACCTTCTGACCTCGCTCCTCAGGGCTGGAGTACCTCATGGCGGGCCACTCGGACCGTAAGCAGGGCCGCCTCCTGGTCAACATGAAGAGCTTCGTCAAGCCTTGGACGGCAAGCTTGGGGCGCAAAGTCCTCGCGCTCCTCAAGAAAGACTGCAACTGGTAGGCGGGACGGGTCGAGAAACGCACCCCTCCCCCTCCCCTCCCCTCCCCCGGCAGGACGGACGGGACCGCGAACGCCTCTGACTTTCATTCCCCTCCAGATGTGGAGGGCCGAATCGCACTGGTCTGGGAGCTGGTTGCTTCGGGGGTTTTGGGAAGGCTGAAACCGAGGTGAACGAAAGGCCCTTTTACTCCTCCGCTGCGGTCCGGCGGGAGCCGGCGGCGGACTCCGCCCACCCCGAAAGCACGCGGGACCTTCATTCTATTAAGTCGCTTCACGTCTCGCACAGTAGGGTTTCTTCTTCTGCCGCCGCCGCCGCTCAAGGAGGCTGAGGAATTCAGCGCTTGGGGCCGAGTGCTTTCTGCTCCATCTGGACGCCGTCGACGTGCGTTAAAGACTGAATCTCTTCCTCTCTGCAGCACTTTAGCCGAAGATGGACTGAGGACACGCAGACACACAAGATTTAACACACACGCACACTAAATGCACAACCATTCCCGATCACACGGGACACTTTTCCACACAGCTGTGTGTGTGTGTGCGTGTGTGTTGACGCTGAACAAGCCATACAAGCCACTACAGGTGGTTAAATCTTAAACCAGTCCAGGTGCGCCTGTGTTGAAACGGGAGTGAATGGATTTTACAACCGTGGTGTGAATGCCTTTGCCCGTTTTGGGAAACGTGTGCGTTTGTGTGTGAATGCAGAGGTTTACTACGAGCACAGTCCAGATCAAGTCCAGCTCTTTGCCGTAGGTTTGTGTAGACTTTCAAAACGCTGCCAGTCCAATGTTCATGATGCAGCGCTGGGTTTGTGTTTGATTCATCTCCTATTACACCCTCCGGAAAATCCTTTGTTATTGCTTCCTTTTGGCTCTTGTACAGTATTATTTGTATATATCTATATAAATATTATGTTCATCTTTTTGCCGCTTTGTTTAATTGTTTTTGTACATGGTAACATTAAAGGATGATTCCAACCGTGTTCTCATTTTGTACAGCGCAACACAAGCAAACAGCAGGGGGTAACCATAGCAGACGAGCTAGCACGTTAGCTTACGTAATGCTAGACGAAACCAACCACTGAATTAAGAGTTATAATAAAGCAAACGTCTCCTTTAAAGTCCCAGCTGACGATGGCTGACGAGCTTTATTTAAATGCCAATCGAAACTTTTCCCAGAAACATTCTCTTGTCAGATAAACGGAGACTCTCAGCAACAGTTGATATAACCGCCCAGGCCTTGAAATGCTTCACATAAAATGGACAAAAATATCCTTATCACCCTGCTCTCTTTCTCACACACACACACACACACACACACACACACACACGCAAACAGACACACACATTCCCTGTGTCCCTTCAGATTAAGTCATCCATCAATCTCGCTCCCAAAACACTCTCCCCTGCATTCACACAGTGCCACAGAATGTAGACCATAACAGAGAGGCAGACACACACACACACACACACACACACACACACCCTCTGTTTGGGCGGCCTGCGCGCGTCCTCCGCCGACCGCTCGCCGTGACGCGGTTGGCCCGAAAAGGTGCGGACACATTCCTGCCGCGTTTGAGCAGCGCTCCGCAGCGGGCCGGGTCAAAGGTCACTCACCTGTTGGGCCGGCCCGCCCTCCTCGACCAGAGGTGAGTGGATGGGAGGAGGGGGGGGGGGGGACCTCTCCTATCCGTGTTTCCTCATTCCCAGATTAGTGGCAGAGGGGTCACGGCGGCGAGGAGGTGAGCGAGTGCGCCCGGGAAGAGGAATGTGACCGGTGGGACCGCCGCCCGCGGGAAGAGGTGGGAAGTAACCACGCGCATCACAATCAGGGAAACTGTACTTTACCAGTGGTTTAATGTCTTTAGTTAATTGATTTACCAACTGAGCGATATTTGGGGTATTTCCTTCAAACCAAATTGCAAATGCACTTTCAAAATACAAATGTGGCGAAAAGAGATCAGTGGAAACGTTGTTTTTTTTTGAGGCCCAAATTGAAATGATCCAATATTTCATCCGATAGAAGCAATCGTGAGCAAGATTTTGCATACTTGCGTCCAAGACCTTCGCTTTTTCTTCCTTCCCCGTTAATCAACTCATGACATCCCCGGTGAAGGCCGGCGCCTGCGTGTGCGTCTGCGTCGTTGCGTCGACGCACTCGTTTCAATTCGTGGTTCTGCGTGTGTTGCAGAGCGATTCACCGCCAGAACAACAGGCGGAGTGACGTGTTTCTGTTGAAGACGACCTAGAGAGTCACGTCTATTTATTTATTTGTTTGTTTATTTATTTATCATAGACTTTATTGCCCCGTGCGTCGCCACTGCTGCTTTTAATCGCAGACACATTCGTCCCGTATTTTCCTCCACAACTTTGCGCACCTCTCGACCGGCAAACCGGCGTTTGCGGCAATCTCCCTCCGTGAATCCAACCCGCTTCTACAACCCGCCAATAATTACGCATTTCTTCCGACAAAAGTTCTTCAATCTGATCCGTTCTCTCGTAAACATTCTTCGTTTTAATAATGGCGGTAACCCTTCAGAAGGGGGCCGACCTGTAGGTTGGGAACCGCTCAAATCCTTTTGTGTCTTTGGTCTCCGTGTGCAAAAACCTGCTATCAGAAAGGCTTCATCAAAGCAGACACACTACATTAGATGAGCAATCGCAGGTGAAGACGGGATCAATGTTCAATAAGGGCCTTTAAACAGTTGCTGTCTTTACTAAGTGGGACAGCAACGGTGGTAAACTATGTTTGATTTGCACGGGGGGGCGGGACAGTAGCCGAAGGTTGTGATCGTTTAAAAGGGGCCAACGTGGTCGCCTGAGACTTTGTTTTGGTCCGCGTTGCCGCGGCAACAGGACAGTACGGAGTAAAACGCTGCCTGCGCACATTTTTCCGAAAATACTCCGGCGCCTCGTGTGGGATCTTGACTGTTGTGACCCCCGTTGATTTCTCACGCACCCTCTCTTCCTTACTCACCCTCACAACCTTCCCTGTCGTAAAGACGGCCGTGCAGGCACCTGTAGGTCTGCAGACTGTCTCGCTGTTTACGTTCCGAAGTGAGGTAGAGGAAATGCTCCTTTGCTCCCACTATTTCCTTCTCCTTAGTCAGCAAGAGTCGAACTCTGGCCTCTCTTAGGGTTCGCTCTGAGCACCAGGAAGGCTGTGAAGGTAATGACCGGCATGCCCGGACTGATGGCTCTGTCAATGCAGGTGTAACACTTTGATTATTTGGGAACCCGTGTTAACTTGTTAGCACCGTTTGCTCTAAAACCTTTGAGATTTAACTGGAAGGGAGCTCTCCATTTCAGGCCCCGACTGTTTGGAACTGTTTGACTCGTTGAGGCCTTTTGGGTTACCTAGAA